AAATACATCTTTTGGGGCCCGGTGCAGTGGCCTACCAGCTAAAGTCCTCGCTTTGAATGTAACAGGATCCCATATGGGTGCCAGTTCTAATCCTGACAGCTCCACTTCCTATCTAGCTCCCTGCATATGGCCTGAGAAAGCAGTTGAGGATGGCCCAAAGTTTTGGGACCCTGCAGCTGTGTGGGAGACCTGGAAGAAGCTCCTGAGCTTCAGACCAGCTCAGCTCCAGCCATTGTGGCCACTTGGGGAGTGAATCAGTGGATGGAAGACCTTCCTTTCTGTCTCTCCTCCCCTCTGTATATCTGACTTTATGATAAAAATAAAATAAGTCTTAAAAAAAATACATCTTAAAAAAAAAGATGTATTTATTTTTATTGATAAGGCAGATTTACAGAGAGAAGAAGAGACAGAAAGATCTTCCATCTAGTCTATTGATTCATTCCCCAAGAGGCTGCAATGGCCAGAGCTGAGCTGCTACAAAGCCAGGAGCCAGGAGCCAGGAGCCTCTTCCAGGTCTCCCATGCGGGTGCAGGGTCCCAAAGCTTTGGACTGTCCTCGACTGCTTTCCCAGGCCACAAGCAGGGAGCTGGATGGGAAGTGAAGCACCAGGACATGAAGGGTGGTCATATGGGATCCCAGCTCTTAGCAAGGGGAGGATTCAGCCACTGAGCCATTGTTTCAAGATGACTTAAAAAATTGTATACCAGGGACCTGGCGCAGTAGCCAGGCACTGTAGCTAAAGTCCTCGCCTTGAATGTGCCAGGATCCCATATGGACACTGGTTCCAATCCGGCAGTCCCATTTCCCATCCAGCTCCCTGCTTGCAGCCTGGGAATGCAGTCAAAGACGGACCAAACCTTGGGACCCTGCACCCGCGTTAGAGACTCGGATGAAGCTCCTGGCTTCTGGCTTCAGATTGGCTTATCACCAGCCGTTCCGGGTGCTGGGGGCGTGAATCAGCAGACAGTAGATTTTTCTCTCTGTCTCTCCTCCTCTCTGTATATCTGTCTTTCAATAAAAAAATAAATAGTTAAGAAATTGTACACCAGGACCTGGCACAGTAGTCTAGTGGCTAAAGTCCTCACCTTGCATGCACCAGGATCCCCTATGGGCACCGGTTCTTCCTCTTCTTTTTTTTTTTTTTAAGATTTATTTATTTTATTTTATTGAAAGCCTCTGAGGAGGCTTGGCTCTGGCATTAGCACTCCATGGCAGACCATGGAATCCACACTCATCTTCACGGTTAGGGTTCTGAGTCCGGCAGTTCAGTTGGAGAGATCCCAAAAGAAGCTTTGTCTGCGGTGATCCCAGACCAGATTCCTGTGTGTACCTGCCAGTAGAGGGCCTGGCACAGTCCATCACCCCAATCAGCTGGTGGTTGCAATCGCTAGGGCGGTTCTGTTTCCAGCCTTGTCTTCCACTGGAACCAATGGGTGTTGCAGTCCAGCCTGATTCTGGGCACTGGTTCTAATCCCAGCAGCCCCACTTCTCATCCAGCTCCCTGCTTGTGGTCTGGGAAAGCAGTCGAGGACGGCCCAAAGCCTTGGGATCCTGCACTGGTGTGGGAGATGCATAAGAAACTCCTGGCTCCTGGCTTTGTAGCAGCTCATCTCTGGCCATTGCAACCACTTGAAGAGTGAACCAGTGGGTGGGAGATCTTTCTGTCTCTCCTTCTCCCTGTAAATGCGCCTTCCAATAAAAATAAATTCATTAAAAAAAAAATGGTATCCCAAAATGGCACTGAATTCTGAGAGTTGGTCGCGGGAAAGCAGGTCAGAGAGGGTCCTGCAAGGGTCGTGCAGAGCGGAGGTGACACACATCTCCGTGTGTCACCTTGAACCCACGCGTGTTTTCCTCATGACCGGGGTTTCACAGGACTCCTTGACAAGCACAGAACCACTTTCAGCTTGCCTGGGTCCCTCCTTCCCGCGAGGTGGCTTCAATCTGTTTAAAGAAGCATGCGGTTTGCTGGGCGGCTCATCCTGCGGGTCTTCAAGGACCACTGAGGGGGGCTTCCGGGTTGGCTCAGACACTGGGGGAGCACAACTCCCCCGGTGCACCAGGAAGAGGAAGTGCCTGGCCCATGGCAGCCTCAACAGCTTTATCTTTGCAAACAGTGCCATCTGGTGGGCCTTGGAGCTCAACGTTGTCTCGTTAACTGAAACCCCATCTGGTTCAAATGCACCGAAGAATGGTGCAGATGGCAGAGATGAAAACCCCGTTTAACATGCAAGAGAAATTTTGAACAGTTTTCTCAAAGCATATACCAACAGGGTCGACAGAGTATTGGATGCCATTCATCAGTAAGGAAGTGCAAGTGAAGGCTCCTCTGAAACAGCACCCCACGCCCTGAACTTCAGGATAACAGCTGTCAGAAAGACAGATGGAAACGGGTGGGGGGGATGAGAGATTAAGACACCTGTACCCACATCAACACCCTCGACTGGCTCCGCGATTCCAGCCCCAGTGCAGACTCAGGGAAGCTCGAGGTGGTGGAGAGCGAGGGTCAGTCACGGGTTCATTTTGCCTGCTCTTGGCTTTGGGCCCTGCCCTGGCCCAGCTGTGGTGGGCATTTGGGGACCAAGCCTGTTGATGGGCGTTCTCTGTCTCCCCCGCGCACACCGCTGGCACGCCTCGATGCAGTGCTTAGGCTGCGATGGAACACTGGCTCAGCCTCCTGCCAACGTGCACCCTGGGAGGCGGCGGGGGACGGGTCAGGCAAGCAGTTCCCTGCTGCCCATGAGGGAAAGCTGGCCTGGGTTCTCAGCTGCCTCTGTCCACGTGGCCCAGCCCCAGCCAATCTAACCTGTGATGATGGTTCTCTGTCTCAAACAAAGAAATAGACAGGACCAGACGCAATAGAGTAGTGGTTAAAGTCCTCGCCTTGCACGCACTGGGATCCCATATGGGTGCTGCATCTAATCCTGGTGGCCCCGCTTCCCATCCGGCTCCCTCCATGTGGCCTGGGAAAGCAGTCGAGGACAGCCCAAAGCTGCACCCACACGGGAGACCTGGAAGAGCTCCTGGCTCCTGGCTTCAGATCGGCACAACACCAGCCGTTGTGATCACTTGGGGAGTGAATCATTGGACGGAAGATAATTCTCTCTGTCTCTCCTCCTCTCTGTATATATCTGACTTTGCAACAAAAAGAAATCTTTTTTTAAAAATCAACCAATCGTAAAAAACAGAAATCAATCTAGTACAAACTTTTAAAATGAGATTCTATTTATGTGAAATGCCCAAATCAGGGGAAATCTGGAAACTAAGATGGTAGAAGTAGTGGCTGCCCACAGGCAGAGGGGCGGAAGGGGCTAGGGTAGGAACTCCTAGCCTTGGAGCCTGGTACAGCAGCCAGGATCCCAAACGGTAGGTGGATTCGCTCCAGATTCAGCAGTCAGCACCCTTTTTTCTCAGGTCACACCCACCCAAGTACGTGCCAAGTTCTTCTTTATTGATCAGGTGCATGTCCCAGGCTGGGTGGGCCACGCGGTGTGCACTTGCACAGCCCCCTGAGGATGCTCACTGAACGAGCGTGGGGCGTGCCCATGTGCCACTACAGCTGAAATTCCTCACTGTCCCGAGAAAACGAGGCTGGAACGCTGGAGGGGTACAGACCAGGAGCAGCAGTGTCCTCTAGGTGACAGGCCCAGCCCCGCCAAGGGCTCCCTGCCACAGTCAAGGGGCCCTTTGCTAACCATCCCCACCAACCTCGAGGAGCCATGTCCCATCAGTTCGCCAAGAGATGTCCTCACCCAAGGACCCAGGATCACACAGCACCTGAATCAGCTTTACCACCTGGCTACGAGGCTAAATTGCCTGCCCAGAGCTGAGGTTCCCCGAGCAGGAAGCACTACCACGGGGCCCCTGGGGCCGTGGCTGTGCTCTCCCTCCTGCACGGACCTTGCTGGACCCCGAAGGTCCCCCGAGAACTCTCCCCTGGGCATGTACGAGCCACTGGCCCCACGGGAGCCAGAGCGGAGTTCTGAAGGGCGCAAGAGGGCCAGCGTGCAGGCAGGCAGGGCGGCCTGGGCCTTGCATAAACCGCTGGGGACCCGCCTGGTGACCTTGGGCAGGTCCTGTCCATCGCCCCAACTTCCCACGTGGGAAAGCCAGCATGCGCTCTGCCAGGAGCTGCGTCCCAGGGCTGTGACTCGCCTGGATAACCTTGGGAGCCACAGTCCTCCGATCCCACCGGTCCCCATCATCCTCCCCGCCGCACACACACACACACACACAATGCGCGCGCGCCCCAAAGCCCTCGGTCCCCATCATCCTCCCCGCCACACACACACACACACACACACACACACACACACACACACACACACACACACACACCACACACACACACACACACACACACACACACACACACACACACACACAACGCGCGCGCCCCAAAGGCCTCGGTGCACCTCAGCCCCCAAAGAGAACGCGTCCTGGTCTCACCTGTCGGTGGAACGTAGGCCCTGGCCGGAGACACGAGGATGGGTCTCCGCCTCCCTGAGGTGATGGGGTTGCCGACGGGCAGGTGCAGGAGTCGGCGCCCCCGGTCCCACAGCCGGAGGCAGCTCCTCCACATGGCACCCGAAGGCCCGGGAGCACGCGCGGCGTGGAACCTGAGAGCAGGACACACAGAGACAGCCGAGTGGCGCACTCCGGCCGCAGCGGTCACTCGGCACGCTTCTCCCCGCCAGAGCCCTCAAGCTGCCCTGGACGCCGCCATGTTCCAGCATGAGCCCTGCGGCGCGCCGTCGCCGCACCGCGCCCGCTGCGCATCGCAGCGGAAGGCCGACTACAAGCCCCACAAGGCCGCTCGTGCGCCCCGCTGCCACGTGTCTCCCGTGCTCGCCAATGAAGGGGAGCGCCGCGCGCGCCTGCTCCCGCCCCCACGCCAATCGGAAAGGGCGGTGTGTGAGTGTGAGTGTGTCTGCGTGTGTGAGTGTGTGTGCGGGCACGAGTGGAGCGGGGCCCAGGTCGGAGGCCGAGGCCCCGCGCGCGGGTCCCGGGGTGCCCCGCGGGGTGCGCGCCCGCGCGTGCGCGCCCGGCGCCTCCCGCCGGCCCGGCGGCCTCCGCGGCTCCCGCGCGGCGGCGGTTCCTCTGCACCCCCCCAGCCCTGGCTCCGGGGGACCCCGCGATGCCGGTGCGCACCGAGTGCCCCCCGCCGGCCGGTGCCTCGGCCGCGGCGGCGGCGGCCTCGCTCATCCCCCCGCCGCCCATCAACACCCGGCAGCCCGGCGTGGCCACCAGCCTGCTCTACAGCGGCTCCAAGTTCCGCGGTCACCAGAAGAGCAAGGGGAACTCGTACGACGTGGAGGTGGTGCTGCAGGTGAGCTCCGGGCCGGGTCGCGGCCGGGGTCCGTGGGGCCTCCCCGCGGCGCTCCCGGGGCGCCGGCTCGCCAGCCGCGGGAGCAGGCCCCTCTCCGGCCCCGGGCCTCCTGCACCCGGGACCCCGGAGCCGGCGTGACCCGCTCCCGGCGCTTCTCGAGCGGCCCGCCGGGGGGATTCGGAAGCCTCGGAAGCCCGGGCCCGGGGACCGGGGCGCCTTTGGGCCGGGATCTGACACTCGTCCTGCGGCTCGCTCAGCCTCGGGACCCTCCTCCTCTTCCTCTTGCTGCTGTTCCCGGAGGGCCGCCAGCGGAGAGCCCCCCAGCCCAGCTCCGATCACAGCTTCCCAGCTGCCCTTACTCACTCTTTTAGTTCTTGGGGCTCCCCCCACCCCCGCCCTGCACTCCCTGCCTTGGTCTTCCTCCAGGTCTCAGCCAGTTTGCATGGTCCGGTCACTCGCCTTCGCTTAACCTGCCGGTCCCTGATCCGCCTGTGCCCCCCTCCCGCCCGCACTTGTAAGCACCTGGACCTGTCCCAGCCCCTAACCTGCCTATGTAGGATCCACTCCCCCAACACACACTTGAGCCCCTTTCCCTCCGTCTGACACCCAGTGGCTTAGGCCGTTCTCCCGAACCCCCGTGTACCCTGGACACACCTGTTCCCGCGAAAGCTCTTGCCTGAAGCAGCGTGGCTGCTGGGTGACAGTTAAAACTGGCTTCAGTCTTAGTCTCCAACCCGAAGAAGGTAGAGACACTTTTTTCCCCGTTTCTGCTGGCTGCTGAGCGTCTGCTAGTGTCTGTCATTCTCTTTTAAACTGTTTTTGCAGCAATAAACAGTTCCCTCTGGTTTCACAGAGCTGCATCTTGTATTGGGTCTATAAACCCGAAGGTGCCTGCCACAATTCCAGTTGTAAACGGGGCGGGGGGGGGGGGAGCGACAACAGCTGGAGTGACAGACACAGTCCTTGACCTCCCCGCCTAACGGGGGTGCGGGGGGAGACTTGAACCTGCTCGTGTTTTATCTTGCAGTGAGTGATCCGAATGCTGGGTGGGGCCCCCAGGGTGGGACGTGTTCTGTGGTGGTCTGAAACGTGCACCTGCTGTGTGTCATGTGGTGTTGTGAGAGGGGTTGGGGGGGACAGCCACCAGGTGACAAGGTGCCAGGGAAGCATGCTTTAGTCACTCCAGTGACCGCTGCCCTCCTGTTCGGTGCCTGTGGCCACGTGCAGGCACAGCTGTCAGGTCCCAGGTAGGCTGAAGGCAGAAACCTGGCCAGTGGCTGGCAGCCAGCTGAGGAAGAGGTGTGGCTCCTGGGGGGTAGGGGGTAAACCCCACCCCTGGGCTGGCGTGGCCCAGCCTGCGGCATGGGAGTTAACCCCATCATCTGTTTTTTTTTCAGCCAGGGCTCGCCTCCTGGAGCCAGCCCTCTTGCTTCCAACCCTGCAAAGGGCCATCTCTCTCTCTCTCTCCCTCTCCCCTAAACTCACACACATACACACACACCCCTGCCTGTCTTGTCTTCTTGTTTGAAGACTGACCCACTTTGGACGTTGCCTCCCACGTGGAGGACTGCAGCCCATGTGCGCTGTCATGACCGGCTCCACGGTGCGTTCCCCTCCTAGCTCGCTGGCAGCAGCCCTCGTGGTTGCGTTGTGTCTCGTGCCCACTGTGCACTGACCGGAGGGTGGATGCCCGGGTTGTTACAGATGCTGTCGGTACGCGTGTTGGTGTGACCAGTGTCTGTGTGGGTGTGCACCTTCACTTCTCTCGCAGAGGTAGATGCCTAAGGGTGGGAGTGTGTGGTCAGGCATCCCCGTGACTCCCTGACGTCTACGGCCTCCTGCTGTCCATCTCACAGAGTGTAAGGACCCCAGGTTCCCCCACATCCTGACCAACCCCGCCGTTTTCCATCTTTCTTACCTTAGCCCTCATGATCCTGCAGTAACATCTCATCATGGTTTCGGTTTGAACTTCCCAGAGCCAGAGGGATTGAGGTCTTCCATCTGTTGGTTCATTCCCCCGTGGCCACGTTGGCCAGGGCTGGGCCAGGCTGAGCCACCGCTGGGTCTCCCATGTGGGTGCAGGGTCCCAAGGACTTGGGCCATCCTCTGCTCTCCCAGGCCACAGGCAGAGAACTGGAAGGGACGTGGAGTGACCAGGACTTGAGCCAGCACCCATGTGGGATGTGAGCATTGGCCATCTTTGCATGTGCTTTATGGAGAACTTTTTTTTTTTTTTCTTCAATTCTGGATTGTGGGGTCCTAAGTGGGTCTCTCCTGACCCCATGACACCAGCTTCCCCTGTGTGTCATCCAAGAAGGCAGCTTTAGAGGGAAGCCCAGCAGGGTATTCACAGTGAAGGGAATGTTAAAACAAGAGCCGCGTTTGCCACACTGTGTGGTGAGAATCCATCCCCCACCCCCTGTCTTGTTATTTTTCGTTGAACTACTAGCCCACTGCTGGGTTGGAGCCCACGTGGCATGCATGTCATGGCGTGTCGAGTGACGTGGGCAGCACAGCATAGCTGCAGGGCTGGGCAGAGGCCAACTGCGATTGTGGTCCTGGAGCAGGCGACGGTCACCTGTTCCCAATGTTATCACTGGGTATCCTGGCTGCCCGGCAACCCGTGAAACCCCAAAAACGCCTGTTGAGCTCGGCGTGGAGGCCCCACATTGGAACCACGAGGAGCTTGTCCTTAAGTAAGCGTGGTTGGCGGACTCCTGAGTCGGGGGTCGCGTGCCCTCAGCTGCAGCCCACCCAGACCTGTTTACAGAACGCTCACATAATAGGTGGACTCCTTTGAGTCCCATTTCAGGAGATGGGGAGCTGTGTACTCCAGGCCAGTGACCTGGGTGGGCCTGGTTCCTTCCATCTCATTGTACCACTGTGCTTGGCGTTGTCTGGCCTGGACGCTGCTCACAGACCCCCCGCCACTGTCAGGCTAGAGTCACCCTGCTGATGCTGTTCCCCATGGGCCTGCATCTGGCTGGCCAGGATGAGCAGAACCTCCGTCCCCAGGTGGTTCGGGAGGACCACAGGTTTGCTATAGCATCCAGCAGGGTTGACCAGATGTCCATACCAGCCACACCAGGGTGGAAAGGGAAGAAGTTGGTTGTAAGCAGGTGTCCCACAGTACCTAAGCCAACCTCAAGATCACCGTGCCTCCCCACACCCCCTTCATGCCAAGCTCCTGGTGCTCACCATTAGAGCCACACAAAAGCCTGTGTAGAGGGGGCGGGCATGAAGTGCCACGTTGGGAGTAACCCAGAAGCTGTTCCTGGGGTCCTGCAGCCCCGGGAAGCCCAGCAAGGGGTCAGCCGGCTGGCCAGCAGGTTCCCCTCCATTGCCATGTGTGTCCCCATCAGTGACAGGCTGCGTGTCTTTGCCTTGCAGCACGTGGACACGGGGAACTCCTACCTTTGTGGATACCTGAAGATTAAAGGCCTGACTGAGGTAAGCTCCTGCTCCGCCCTCTTCCCTCCGGTGTGGTGGGACCCACGCCGGGCGCTGTGTCAGTGAGCGCTGGTACCGTGTGGGGAGCCTGTGGGGAAGCGAGGGCACGCCACCGCGTTAGGAAGCAGGCAGATTTGCAGAGCTTTACAAAGAAAGTTGGCAAACGCATCCCAGCGTGACCAGCACTGCTGCTTTTGTGTTGCATCCTTTCAGCAGCTGTGAGAACAGAGACGGCAGCCAGCGCGGTGGCACAATGGGCTGAGCCTCTGTGGGGCCAACGTGCCATCGCAGTGCTGGTTCAAGTCCTGGCTGCGTCTGTGGTCCTAGCACCCTGTACACACCCGATCTCGTCTGATCTCGTGAGTCCTGGCTACCCCATTTCCAATCCAGCTCCCTGCAGAGGGCGGCTGAGCGCTTGGGCCCTTGCACCCACACGGGATGCCCAGGGGAAACTCTGACTCACACCAGCCTGGTTCTGGCCATTGCGACCATGTGGAGAGTGAACCAGCCGAGGAAAGATCTGTCTGGCTTGGTTTGTCCTTCTCCATAAGATGTGCCTTTCAAAGAGAAAGATATATATGTATGTTTATAATACATACGTATATATATGTAATATATACACACACACATATATATAAAGACCATAACTACTGCATCATAAACTGGGACTGACAGTAATCACTTAATCCAGTTAGGCTTTTTTTTTAAGATTTATTTTATTTTATTGCAAAGTCAGATATACAGAGAAGAGGAGGAGAGACAGGACGATCTTCTGTCTGTTGATCGATTCCCTTAAGTAGTGGCCTTAACGGCCGGAGCTGAGCTCATCCGAAGCCTGTAGCCTCCTCTGGGTCTCCCACATGGATGCAGGGTCCCAAGACTCTGTTGCTTTCCCAGGCCACAGGCAGGGAGCTGGATGGGAAGGGCAGCAGCTGGCACCTGCAGCCGAGGATGAGCCTGTTGAGGCACCAGGCCAGCCCCAGAACGTGGGAGGTAGAGGAAGCAGGGAGGAACACCCTTTGTCTTCGCTGTCTGGCAAACAGGAAGAACTTGGAGGGTGACCTGACCCCTGAGCCCTGCTGGAGGTGCCCTGGTTTGACCTGTGGCCTTTGTGACCCCCCCTGCGTCTTGTTCCTCCAGCAGGGTGTTGGCTCTGCTGGACAGATGGTGAAAGGGGTCGAGGAGTTTGCTCTTCCTTTCCTTGCCTTGCCTGTCAAGTGGGAGTTCTCTGTACACAGCGTCGTGGCCCAGCAGGCTGCAGGGCGCCTCTCACACCTGCATCTTCCATCCCAGCACCACGTAGAGCCACGGCGGCTCCACTTCCAAACCATCTTCTTACGTGTGGATCCCAGGAGGCGGGGAGGATGCTCCAGGGCCTGGGCCTCAGCCCCAGCCATGTGGGAAACCCAGGTGGAGCTCCTGGCTCCTGGCCGTCACGGACCACTGGGGAGTGAGCTGGAAGTGAAAGATCGCGCTCTCGCTCTGACTTTCTCCTGCCCATCTGTTGCTCTGCCTTTGGAGTGGATGGAGGGTAAAGGTGAATGGAAAAGTTCGGCTGGCGTTGCTCAGTGGCCGGGGCTCCGTGGTTCCATCTAGTTCACCTCCTTTTCTTTCAGAAGGGTTTGTTTTCTTTCTTTCTTTCTTTTGTGTGTGTGCGTGTGAGATGCTGAACCACTGGCTAGTTGTTCACTGCCCAAACTACCCACTGTGGTTGGGCTTGGGCTGCACTGACGCTGGGAGCAGGACATGCCACCCAGCCTCCTTTGGCCAATGGCAGGGACCCCAGGAGTCGGACCCAGCACCCCAATACAGGGCCTGGGCCAACCAGTCAGCAGTTTCTTATGTTTTTTCTTTTTTTTTTTTTTTTAAGATTCATTTGTTTATTTGTTTGTTTATTTATTTATTGGAAAGTCAGATATACAGAGAGGAAGATCTTCCGTCTGATGATTCACTCCCCAAGTGAGCGCAACGGCCGATGCTATGCCAATCCAAAGCCAGGATCCAGGAACCTCTTCCAGGTCTCCCACATGGGTGCAGCATCCCAAAGCTTTGGGCCATCCTCAACTGCTTTCCCAGGCCACAAGCAGGGAGCTGGATGGGAAGTGAAGCAGCTGGAATTAGAACCGGCACTCATATGGGATCCTGGCGCATAGAAGGCGAGGATTTTTTTAACCACTAGGCCACACCGCCGGGCCCCAGTAGTTTTTTAAAGTTGTGTTTATTTTGCTTCAAAGAACTAGAGAAAGAGATAGCTTCCATTTGCTGGATCACTCTCCATATGGTTACAGTGGCCAGAGCTGGGCCAGCATAAAGCCAAGAGCCAGGAGCTTCTTCCAATTCTCCCACATGGGTTCAGAGGCCAAAGGCCAAAGGCCTTCCTCCACTGCTTTCCTAGGCCATAAGCAGGGAGCTGGTTGGGAAATGGAGCAGGAGAGGCGCCAGGATATGAACCTGGCACTGCAAGCAGAGGATTAGGCTGCTACGTTATCTCAGTGGCCCCAGCATCTTATCTCTCAGGCCAAAGGGCCTGTCTTTTCCTTGTAGAAGTCTGATGAAGCATTTCCTGTGAAATGTGTTGTTGAGACAGTAGGGATCTCTTCTGTGCTTTTTAGAAAATCGTCCAGTCAAGTAAGAAAAGGAAACGTTGGCAGAATTAGGTGTCTAGCCTGCGGGCTGGGGTAGCACGTGGGATGGGCACCTCCCGGCAGCCGAGTGTGCGTGGTGCTTCCATGAGTAGCATGCGCAGTAAGCTCTAAGAAACACAGCACCGACACCAGTGCTACCACTGCTAGGAGGGTGGTAGGGGCAGGTGGGAACCCTGAGAGAGGGGCTGAGGGCCTTCCATCCGGCCCCTCTGACTGCCATGCAGCTGCCTACCGAGGCACAGGCTGGGACAAGGCAGATGAAGGCCGCTCCAGGGTCTGGGCCGCGCCACCCACGTGGGAGGCCTGAAGGCTGCAGCCAGGCCGAGCCCTACTGCCGTGGCCATGGTGGGAGGGAGCCAGCACATAGAAAATCTCTCTTTCAAATCGATAAACATGTTTTTTTTAAGTGAACTTTTTAATAAAAAGGCTTGTTTGTTATTTAAAAGGCAGATTTTTAACAGAGGAGGAAGAAGGGGAAATAGATCTTACATCCACTGGTTCACTGCCCAAATGGCCACAGTGACCTGAGCTGAGCCGGGCTGGGACCAGGTGCCTCATCTTGGTCTCCCAAGTAGGTACAGGGGCCCAAGGCCTTGGGCCGTCCTCCACTGCTTTCTCAGGCCACAAGCAGGGAGCTGGATGGGAAGTGGGGCATCCGAGACTAGAACCAGTGCTCACACGGGCCCTGCCTTGCAGGTGGAGGCTTAGCATGCCATGCCTTGGCACCAGCCCTGTAATTACACAATTTCATGCTTTGGTTTTTCATTAGAGTAGTTGTCTCCTCATGTGCACAGCACAGAATCGTTTTCGACTGGAGATCATCTGCAGCCTAGAAATAAGCGGTGAGGAGCAGCGGGTCTGAGGCGGAGCCTGAGCCATCACCAGCGTGCCAGTCCCTCAGGTTCCCTCGTCTTCCCCCACCACCGGTTTGGGATGAGCCAGGGTCCCCGCAGTGGCTCCCCATAGCCCAGCCTGCCTTGCCCCCACTGTGGCCTCACTCGCCTTCAGACTCGGCCTTGCCTATGCCGGCGTGAGCTCTGCCTGGCTCAGCCAGTCATCCCCCTTTGGGCAGGAGTCAGGGGCCTGAAGCTTTAGAACCTTACCCAAACAGTTCAGTCTTCCCCGGGCACTTGGGTCCCTAGGGGCCCAAGCCCTTCACAGCCCTGCTGTTGGACTCAGTGCTGTGGAACGCCATGGACACGGTCGTGTGGTTCAGGGAACAGCGACAGAAAAACCTGCACCTGTTCCGTGATGGTGTGATTTTTTAAAATCAGAACACAGTGTTTTCTGGTTTCTCAACTAGAATCAATTTTTTTTTAAAAAAAAAGGCAGAATTACAGAGAGGGCGAAGCAGAGACAGAGAGATCTTGCACCCATTGGTTCACTCTGCAAACAGCTGCAGGTGGCTGGGGCTGGGCCAGGCTGAAGCCAGGAGCCTCACTCGGGTCTTCCACGCAGGTGCAAGAGGTCAGGGACCTGAGCCCTCTTCCACGCGCCAGCACACGCCAGCGTCCAGTGTACCACACCGCAGCTCCGGCCCCATGATTTTTTTTTTTTCTTAAATACTTTCAATGGGGAGCCAGTTGTTTGTAATTACGTCTGTGGCTCTCAGATGCATTTTTTTAATTTTCAGAAGTTAGGGGAGCCCGGAGGTCATGTGTTAAGATTACCCAAAGCGTTGTGAAGAGGGACACCCGTGTGGAGTCATTCCTTGGGATGCCAGTGACATGGTGTCCCCCGCAGGTCGCTTTCCGTTATTTTAGGACCACTGTATTATGTGGCTGTGTCACCTGCTAACGCTCAAAACCCAGGGGAGCAGCAGCATCTGGCAGCTTGCGGCAAAAGCCTCTCGTGGGGCTGATGTCTGCCCTGCTGCTCCAGGTGCCAGGTTTCTGGGTCCGGCACGGTGGCTCAACAGGCTGATTCTCCACCTTCCAGTGCCGGGATCCTATATGGGTGCTGATTCATGTCCCAACTGCTCCACTTTCCCTCCAGCTCCCTGGGACCAGGCTGAAGACTCTGCACCCACATGGGAGCACAGAAGAAGCTCCTGGCTCCTAACTTCCTGTCGGTTCAGTTCCAACTGTTGCCGCCACTTGGGGAGTGAACCAGCAGATGGAAGATCTTTCTGTCTCTCCTTCTCTCTGTAACTCTGCCTTTTCAATAAAAATGAATAAATCTTTAAAAAAAAGGAATCGGGTGTCCATTAAGGAAGATGTCTCCTTTTGAGCATCTTTCGCTGAGTTTCCATGTGAGGACGGCCACGGCAGTGGTAGGGCGTGGCCTGGTAGTTCTGAGAGGTGTTAGGTTTCTGGTGTCTGTGGGGCTGCGTGTGCAGTGGTGCTGTCAGCATCTCATACAGATGGCGCTGGTTCGAGTCCCGGCTGCTCCACTTCCCATCCAGCTCCCTGCAAATTCACCTGGGAAAGCAGCGAAGGATGGCCCCAGTGCCTGGGTCGCTGCATCCCTGCCAGGCTTCAGCCTACCCCAGCCATTTGAACCAGTAGATGCAAGAGTTATCTGTCTCTGTAACTCTGCCTTTCAAATAAGTAAACTAGTAGTAAGCCTTTTCTTTTTCTTTTTTTTTTTTAAGATTTATTTTTATTTGAAAGGCAGATTTTACAGAGAGATGTTTTGCCTGCTGGTCCACTCCCCCAGATGGCCGTACCACCCATAGCTGTGTGAATTGGAAGTTCACCAGGAGATACAAATTTCCTCCATGTCTCCCAGTGGGTTCGGGGCCCAAGCACTTGGGCCATCCTCTGCTTCTCTCCCAGGCCATAAACAGGGAGCCGGGTGGGAAGAGGAGCAGCTGGGAGTTGAACTGGTGCCCATATGGGATGCCTGCCCCAAGTTAAAAGTGTTTATCAGCTGGTTGTTGTTTCAGTGGTCCTAATTTCATACTGTATCCGTGCTTTACACAGCTTCCCCAGTGTGTACTGTCTTGGGGTGATAAGTGCCTGAAGACGCACCCCAGGCTCTGGCACAGGAGGCAGAGCCAGGATGCAGCAATGGACTGGGCTGTGCCTTAGGGGAGACTTGGCTGCCAACGCTGTGGCCTGGAAGCTTCTCAGCCATAGGCCTTTGGAATGGTGGAGCTGGATCAGGGTCTCCTGTGCTGTGTTTTCTGGCAAGGGTTCTGGAGCCCTGCTGTGGCTCAGACCGCGGTCAGTGTGGGTGAGGGGCAAGGCGCCCTCTGCCGTCAGTGCTGGGAAGTGCTTTCAGCCTCCCTGGTCAAAGGGAAGGCCGCTGATGCCGAACCTGCCCTCACGTGTGGCCTTTCCCACAGGAGTATCCAACCCTGACGACCTTCTTTGAAGGGGAAGTCATCAGCAAAAAGCACCCTTTCTTAACCCGTAAGTGGGACGCAGACGAAGACGTTGACCGGAAACATTGGGTAAGTAGGTCCCCACTCGCCACTCTGTGCTGGCAAAGCCTCTTCCTACTGGCAGGCAACCCAAATTCTCTGCCTGCTAATGAGAGCTCTGCCCCATACCGGCCCTGCCTACCTGTGGCCCACCTGCTGGCCACTGCCCTTGCATAATCACCTCGAGGCAGGGAAAACCCCCACACTGGGGTGGGCACGAGATAGGGCTACCATTCGGAGAAACAGCCCTCTGGCTGGCTTTTCAGCCAGGGTGGGCGCTGCTCTCCCCCCTGCTGCTGCTAGATCAGGACACTGCGACCCAAAATGCTTCAGGAGAATGTGTTCCAACCTGTCACCACTGGCCCTGGCGTACCACTTGGGCAACCTCAAGTCCTTGCTGTGTGTGGGTCGGTCAGACAGGTCCCATCTGTGTCACTGCTGCCTGCAGGGGGAGCCACAGGTGCAAGCCCCTTGCCTGCGCTTGCTCAGTGGTAGATTGGCAGCTTTGCTTATTGATGCTTAAAAAAAGAAAAATGTTTCTTTGAAAAAGCAGAGTCACGGACAGAAGTACACGCACACAGAAGTTGTCCATCTGCTGGCTCATTCTTCAAATGCCTGCAACAGCCAGGGCTGACCTGGTCCAAAGCTGGGAGCCAGGAGCTGCTTCCGGCTTTCCCCACACGGTGCGGGAGTCAAGCACTTGGGCCATGCTGCGCTGCTCTCCGAAGCCATAAGCAGGGAGCTGGATGGGAAGCACAGCAGCCGGCACTCACACCGGCTCCCGTGATGCGTGCTGGTGCCTCAGGCGGATGCTGAGCATGCCGTGCCACCGTTGGCCCTCTTGATGCTTTTGCCTTGAGTTTGGAAAACAACGCCTATCACGTGCTGAGTCTAGTTCAAGTTCAGATTTGACCTTCAGGAGCATTTCTTCCTAAAGCTGCCTGCTTTGACTCTCGTAGCAGAGGGACCCAGAAATCTCTGTGGTCCGTAGGTGCGGGGGATACAACAGCCCCGGGGCCATGTGCTGCTGCCTGCCATCAGCTGGCGGAGGCGGAAGGGCTGTCTCGTGCACCTGCCCATGGTAGTGCGGCCTGTTGTTGCCCAGTCAACTTTGCCAGCTGTTTCAGACAGGATGTGCACGAAGCCGAGTGTTTGAGGCCCGGTGGTAACTCTTGTTCCGGGTGCAGTTGCCTGCAAATTAGAAAGCAAGTCTTAAGGCTGGTGACATAGCTCAACAGGATGAATCATCCCATATGGACGCTGGTTCAAGTCTCAGCTGCTCCACCTCTTCTTTTTTTTAAATTTTTTAAAGATTTATTTATTTGTTATTGGAAAGGCAGATCTACAGAGAGAAGGAGAGACAGCAGTAGAAGATGACCCAGGGCCTTGGGTCCCCGCACCCACATGGGAGACCCAGAGGAAGCTCCTGGTTCTTGGCTTTGGGTGAGCTCAGCTCTGACCATTGCGGCCATTAAGAGTGAGCCAGCAGATGGAAGATCTTTCTCTCTGTTTCTGCTTCTCTCTGTAAATCTGCATTTTCAATAAAAGATACTTGAAAAAAAAAATTCATACTCAATGGTGATTCTGCAATGGGGCCGGTGCAGCCACCACCTACAGTGCTGGTTTCCCGTACACGTGCTGGCTCAAGTCCCAGCTGCTCCACTTCCCATCCAGCTCCCTGCTAATGGGCCCGGGAAAGCAGCAGAGAAGGGCCCGAATGCTTATGCCCCTGTATCCATGATGAAGACCTGTTGTAGCCATCTGGGGAGTGAGCCAGCACATAAAAGACCCCTCTCTCTTTCTCTTTGTCTCTGTCTCTCTTTAACTCCGACTCTCAAATAAGGGAAAGTAAACAGTTTCTGGAAAGTATAATGAAAAGGTCAGTTTAGCCCTCAGGTCTTTACTGAGCTAGGGCCTGCCTGGTCAGTCAGGTATATTCATTAAATTTTGCTAGCTTACCACATTAAAACATCTGGGCCTGGCACAGTAGTTCACGTGGCCAGGGCTGAGCCCCGGCAGAGCCACGAGCTTAGTCCTTGGGCTGTCATCTGCTCACCCCAGGGTGGGCATCAGCAGAGTGCTAGGTCAGAAGGGAGGGCAGCCACAGCCCGGGCATTCCCACCAGCAGCCTTACCCACTGCTCTATAGTGCCCATGCCACAGGATAGAGGACTGCAGCCCCCTGCAGTGCCCCCCCGCACTCTCTGCCCCCTTCTGCCTGGGTCTTGGCTACTGCACACTGGCCTGCAGAGGTCTTCTCTGAGTGGATCTGAACTGGCACCTTTCTGTTCTGAGGTGCTGTGGGCATGCGTCCGTTCTGGTCCCCTTGGCTGCCCATGCTTTGCCAGCAGGCAAGTGTCCAGTATCTACCCCCAAGTGCAGATCTGTGTCTGCGTCCCCACTCAGGGGTGACCCTCGCCCCAGCCTTGACTGGGCCTCCATCGGGAGCCCGTACCAAGCAGCTCTGGTTGCTGTGACGGGAGCCTGCCCCTTTGGGGTTCACTCATCATCCTCCTTCCACTTCCAGGGCAAGTTCCTGGCATTTTACCAGTATGCAAAGTCATTTAATTCCGATGACTTCGATTACGAAGAACTGAAGAATGGAGATTACGTTTTCATGCGATGGAAGGTGAGTTCTGGGGATCCCTTGGGCCGGTGCCTGCAGTGCACCCCACACCCGCTCAGCCCCCTGCTCACCATCTCCAGGGCGCTGGCTGCCGCTGCGCTCCTGTCCTGCCGGCTGCCGTGGTGGCTCTGTTAAGCAGCCAGCAGGTGAATTCCTGGCCGGGTGCTCATACCGCTGTCGCTGCGTCTCCTCCCTCGCCTGTTTCCCCTGCCGCCGGAAGGCCGCCTTTGAGCCTCCAAGTCAGGCCTTCCCAAGTGCCCTCGTAGGGCTGGGGAAAGCCAAGCTTGCTTTGGGGTTTAGTCATCCAGTGAACCCCATTGCCACTGCAGCCTGAAATGCGGTGAGACGGATTAGTCTCGCCAGCCCATCCCCTCCCGCCTGCCCCGCCCCAGGCAGGGCCCTCTGCTTCTCTCCAGCTCTGAAAGTGAGGGACCAGGAATGGAATGTGGGCCCTCCACTCCCGCCGCCAGCTCTACGCGCGTGACTCAGTGATGTGGTTCTCGCCTGGAGAGCCCAGGGCCGGCAGTCACAGCACAGCGAAAGCAGGAAGCAAGTCACCCATGTCCGTGACCTTGCAGCCGCCTCCTCCTGCCCAGGCTCGGGGAGACCACAAGGAGCCACAGAGTGCTCCCCTCTGTGGGTTCACTCCCCACGCGCTAGCAGTACACGGAGCTGGGCCCAGCTGAAGCCGGGAGCTTCTTCCTGGTCCCCCACACGGGTGCGGGGGTCCGTCAGCAGGGAGCAACATCAGAAGCGGAGTAGTCCACATGAGATCCAGCTCTGCAGGTGGTGGCTGCACGGGCTGTGCCACAACACCAGCCTCCTTGTCCTAATTTTTTCTTTTTTAAAATTTATGTATTTGTTTATCGTGGAAAGGCAAATTTACAGAGAGAGCTTCCATCTGCCGATTCACTCCCCAAATGGCTAGAACAACAGGCTGAGCTAATCCGAAGCCAGCAACCAGGAGCCTCCTTGGGGTCTCCCACATGGGCGCAGGGTCCCAAGGCTTTGGGCCGTCCTCTGCTGCTTTCCTGGACCACAAGCGGGGAGCTGGATGGGAAGTGGAGCAGCTGGGACACGAACCAGCATCCATATAGGATCCCAGCGCTTGTAAGGGAAAGATTAGTCAGTTGATCCATCATGCTGCGTCCCCACACACACAAACACATTCTCAGTTTAAAAACGGTTTTGAAAACCAAAATTTGGGGTCCGGCACAGTAACCTAGTGGCTAAAGACCCTCATCTGGGTCTCCCACGGGGCTGTGGCTGGTGCCAGGGCCTGCGTCCTCGGAGCCTCACGTGCAGCAGGACATAGGAGCAGCAAACCTTTTCTTTGCTTGGGCGAGCTCAAGCCTGCAGCTTGCCACTTGAGTACACAGAATATTCCAGCAGCACGTGGGCACTCCCTGGAGTTCGGCCACCGCCACCTGGAGGACCCGGGGCCGACCAGGTGTTAGCAAGAGCAGCCCCTGGGGGTGGCGGAGGAGGCTCCCAGGCACTGGCCTTTACCGCTCCCACCCGCAGGAGCAGTTCCTGGTCCCGGACCACACAATCAAGGACATCAGTGGTGCTTCCTTCGCTGGTTTCTACTACATCTGCTTCCAGAAGTCGGCTGCCTCCATAGAGGGTTACTACTACCATCGCAGTTCCGAATGGTGAGCGGACCCCCCCACTGAACCCCTCCCCCAGCAGCCCAGGTCAGCCAGGGCATTCTGGAGGGGGACCCTCCATCGTTGGGTGAGCCCCGAGAGCCACAAGCTTTTGTGCAGCCTGTCTGCCCTGGGTCTTGCTGGTTTTATGGTTCAGCCTTCCCCCAGTTGAATGAGGAGCCCCAGCCCTTAGCTTAACCCAGCTGCGGGCCGCTTTCCGCTTTCTGCAGCCATCTGGTGCCCCAGTGGGTAGTCTCCGCCTGTGGCTCCCCCAGGGTGAAGGACAGGGGCACCCTGCATGCGAGCCCTTGCCTCCTCACCATCCACGGGAGCAGGGCCAGCCCGTCACATGCTCCCTGCCCTCAGATTCCCAGGTCAGGGCCAGCAGGCTCACCCCTGCAGGCAGGGCGTGGCAGGTGCCCGTGGTTGTGCCTCTGCCACAAATGAGCGTGAAAGCATCACAGAACGCCTCCGTACCAACTAGCAGGTCTGTGTAAAGAGCTGCCACTCACAAAGCCTGTGCTGCTCCCGCTTGGAACACGCCGGAGCCAGCAGCGGTGTGCAGGGCCAAGCCTTTATCCCCCCCGCAAGGAACGCCGCTCCGTGCCCTCTGCAGTCAGGCCTGCCCGGCTCCTCCCAGCCCTGGGCAGTCGCCAACCCACTCTGGCTGCAGGCTCGCCTCAGTGGAATCCCACCACATGTAGCTTCTCCCACTCAGCGTGATGTAACGTGGTGGGCCTCCCCTTTGCATTGTCAGACAGGAACGTCCCATTTCTGTGCCTGTGCGGCTTCGTGCACACCCACCAGCCTGTTGGTGTGGCTTCTGTGTGCACCACAGCCCTCGCCACGTGGAGCGTGTGTCTCGAGTTCCCGCCTCTACCTCCTTCTAGCCTGCACCCAGGGGTGGCATGGCGAAGGCATGGGGAGGTTTGCTGCCACAGCCGCCTCGCCACTTGCTACCAGTGAGGCTTGCTGATCTGGGCATCCCTGGGCCTCACGCTGGCTGCCACAGAGCCCCCGCAGCTCACGCGGTCCTCGGCTCTCTGGGGTGCGCTGTAGGGCCCAGGCAGAATACCTTAGAGAGGGACCCACCCAGAAAGGGGGAGCACGCCAGGTTACTCCACGAGCTCCATGGGAGAATGGCATTAAAGGAGCCATAAAACCTGGCAAGCCGTGAAAATGATGGGTCCTCAGTGTGGGACCCCTATGTTACGGTAAAACAGATGCCAAACTGAACCCCAGTAAAACCTCCTTCTGACTGCCATTCCCTGCGAGCTTCAGGTGGCACTCCAGGGGTGGATGCAGGCATGTGGGGCGTCCTGGGCTCGGGCAGGGGGCCAGGAGGGGGCAGTTGTGGCAGCAGTCGCCTTCCTGGCTGCAGGAGGTGACTGACTTCCTGGTGTGTGTGTGTGTCTGTGTGTGTGCGTGTGCAGGTATCAGTCCCTCAACCTGACCCACGTTCCTGAACACAGCGCGCCCATCTATGAATTCCGGTGACAGCAGGTCCGCACGGCAACCCAATAAAACTGACCTTGGCAACCACGAACTTGGCCAGGGGGAAAAAAAAAATGTGTCTCTGCCAGAACCAGGAGGAGAGCGCGTGCCCGGCTCTTGGAGAGCGTGAATAGGAGGCGGCGGGAGCCGAGGAGCGCGCCGGCCGAGGCAGCCCGGCCCCGGGCGTGGTTCCTGCCTCGCGGCAGCCTGGTCCCACATGCTTCTCGGCCACCTGACAGCGCACTGCCCTCCCTCCTGCACAGCTACCTTCCGGGCCCGGGCCCCACCTCCGGCCACGCAGGTCAGCTCCCGCGGGGGCCCTCGGTGCTCAGTGCCCCCCCACCCCCGCCCACTCCACCTGCTGCGTCTCTCTTCCTGTGGCCCCAGAGCCCGTGCGTGGAGTGGAGTGAGGTGGCGGCAGCAGAAGCCGCGGGACCCCGGCAGGTCCCCCCCCACCACCCCGGGTCTCCCTCCATCTGCAGTTCCAGGCAGCCCGTGTGCTACCGAGGGCAGGCCAGGCTGGGTCAGGCGGGGGTCCCCCCCACAGAAGGCTTCCAGATCGCTGACACAGGAGCAGGTCCCAGCGCTGCATCCTCTCCGCACCTTCGCTCCAAACCTTGGAACTCGAGGGCAATACAAAAAAAAAAAAAACCTTTGAAAAAAAAAAAAGATTTTTTATGACAAAATTATTTTTTATGGTCCCTTTAGCGAGGACCCTGTGGCAAATGCACAATTATCCAGAATTACATTTTATCGTTTTCACATTGAAAACAGCAGATGTTAAAGTTAGTACTTTTTAAGTAGATGTCTGTGGATATGGGTCTAACCGGCCAGCAGTTCTGGAATGTGTCAGCCCTCCCACCACAAGCGATCTGCAGCAGGCCCACGTGGGGGCCGGTTTTGCCTTCGTCCCTTCTTCTCCTCCTCCTCCTCCGCCACTCAGAACAACTGCACTGTATGGCCACCTCGCCCATGCGGCGGGGGGGGGTCATCCCTGGGGAGACAGTGGCGCAGGGGCTCAGGGCACGGGCAGGTGGGTATCTGGGCAGGCCGGGAGGTGTGAATACACTCGTAACTCAAGGCTCACGTGCCAAAGTGTGTGTGTGTGCGTGTGTGTGTGTGCGTGTGCGTGTGTGAGGTTTTCTGGGGTGGTTTTTTTGTTTTTGTTTTTTGGGTTTTTTTTTGTTTTGTTTTTTTGGTTGTTGTTGTTGGGGTTTTTTTTTAACGTTTCTGAAGCTTCCTGGAGGGGGGCTCATCACATGTGGCCCGCACATAGAGGCAAGAGTTTGGGGGGGGGCATTTTATTTTCCCACTGTTTTTACAAGACTGAACTCTTGAGTTGAAGCGAAAGAGCTTTAAAAAGCCAGAGCCCGGGGAAGCAGAAGCCGCTCGGAGGGCGCGGGGCTGTGGGTGGGCAGGTGAGAGAGCGTCACGACCCTGAGTGCGATGTGTCAGATGTGTCATGGTGAGGAGCTGACTGACACGTGGACCCCGTGCAGCCTCACAGGAGTGTCAGGAAGCGTTGTGTTAGGTGCCCTGCGGGACCCCGGAACACCTAACTGTGTGTAGTCCCGGTACCGTGGCTGGACAGGAAGCCCTCAGCCAGCAAGGTCAGGGCCCTGGAGCCCTGCCTGTGAGCAGAGAAGCCATTTAGGTCCGTTGGGATGGGCCCTGGTCACAGCCAGGCCCCACACAGCACCCTTGCGTGGAGACCAAGAGCTACAGCTGTGCGGCGCAGGTGAGGGCTGTACCACCATGGCCCTCCGGTGTCCTGGAGTACTGGCCACAGCAGAGCTGACCTGGGGGCTGCTGTGCCACTCAGTGTATGCGCACTGGCCAGCCCCCCCCACACACACTGAGCGGGGAACGAGGTACACCAGTGACCCTGGGAACTAGTGGGCATGAAGATTAGTTCCCCCTCCCACCCCCCACAAGTCTGCCCACCAAGCATAGGGAAGGAGTGATGTCTTCCACCCTCCCAGACTGTGCAGAGCGGGGAGGGGTGCAATCTCCTTCAGCACCCCCTGCCTGCAGCCAGCCTGCCGGAGCCCACGCGCATCCAATGCTGTGTGCACTCTCCACCCCCCAGGACACCAGTGCAGGCTACCCATGTCTTCCCCTCCTTGGCACTGGCCCCGGGGGAAACTCCTGCCCTGCCGGCCGCTGCCCCCTTCCGCGCGGGGCTTGCCTTCCTACCATCACTGCCCTTCTGCAGCCTCCGGAAGTCACCAGCCGAGGCCTGGCACCAGGCAGCAGGCCTGGTCTGGGCGCTGATCCCATGCCGTGGCTCGCAGGGGAGAAGGAACAATCCAGGGTTGCGAGGGCCCCCTTGGTCTCTTGCTTTCATAAATGACAAGTTTCTGTTCTCAAGGCCTTGGGTTGATCTTTTTTTCCCCCCCCCCCCTCATAAAATAGTATGATAAGCTAATTTTTTTTAAATGCCATTAAGTATGGTTGCATTGTGGTTTAAAATGACTAACAGGTTCCGGGGGAGAAAAAGTAATATTTGATTTTCAACCTGAAATGTTTTAAACATTAGATTTGAATGGGCACAAAATGTGACTGTTTTGTTTCTTTGATGGAAGACACGTGGGGGAAGGTTTGAGGTTTGGGGGTAAAAGAAGTATTTTGCAGAGCTATCGATGTCCAAATTAAAAAAAAAAAAAGAATAAAGCTATTTAAGCAGCGAATCAGCTCCATTTCGTTCATCAAAACCATCACATCCCACGAAACAGGCCCCTTGTGGCCGCATTACCGTGGAGCCAGCCAGCTGTCCAGGCCCAGCCCATCTGGACACAGGAAGTCCCTCCGTCTCCATGCTCAGCTTCTAGCAGAGCTGTGCGGTGTGGAGGAATGTGAAAGGCTTGCTTGCTTGCTTTTTTGTTTGTATGTATGCAGATTTCATATCTCTAACGCAGGGCCAGGGCGATGCAGTTGAGGAATGGTCCTCCGTGGGGTGTTCTTGCTGTAGTCCTCAGGAAACTACCCGGTACTCGGGCCCCAAAGTGCCCTCAGCCAGATGCTGGCAGCCTCGGCCACACGCCAGCTGCCTTCCCTGCTGTCACTTAGGTTTTGGGGGGGAGATGCTTAAAGCCCTGGGGACGCTGCCATCCCCACAGCTTGGCTGTGCTGAGGGCACTAAATGGCGCTGCCCCAGCCCTGTTGAATTGTCACCCGACCTTCCGCAAGACAATGTGTCAAAAAGGGAGCACCCAGTCCACACTGCTGGATTCGTCTGTGACCCTCCAGGAGTCTTACAAGCCGGAAAGCCAGGAGAGCCACGGGTCCCAGGAGATGATCTTGGGAGCACGGGTCCAGGCACGGAGCATGTCACTGCAGCTCGGGCAGCTGGCGACCTGGGTGAGGTGTCCATGGCCAGCCTGAGCCCTTCTAGAGCTGCTGCAAGCCTTCAGGGGGAGTGAGGCGGAAGATAAGAACTCTGTGCCGCTCAAAACATGAGCCGTGTGATTCTCAATTCAAGCTACAGAAAGAGCGCTTCAGAGCAGCTTGGACAATGGAACTGAGAAGATGGTTGCAGGGACCAGCATCCTGACGCAGTGGCTGAGGTGTTTCTCGGAATGCACACCTCCCTGTCGGAGAGCCTGTGTCTCGGCTCCGCTCCACGGCTTGTGACCAGCTCCCTGCCAACGCGCCTGGGAGGCAGCAGGCACTGACACACACACTGCTAAGTCCCTGCCTTTGGCCTGGCCAAGCCTCTGGCCTCTTCAGGCCTTCAAAGGATGTAAACGAACGAATGGACCCAGCTCTTCCTGCCTTGCAAATAAAATTAGGGCTTGCACTTTGGCTCAACTGCCTTATCTTACTCCACCTCCAAATGCCGGGACCTGTGTCAGTGCCAGTTCATATTCCAGCTGCTCCACTTCCCATCCAGCTCCCAGCTTATAGCCTGGGAAAACAGTGGAGGATGGTCCAAGGCCTCGGGCCCCTGCACCCACGTGGGAGACCTAGAAGAAGCTCCTGGCTTTAGGTCAGCTCAGCTCCAGGCAACTTGGAATGTGATCCAGTAGATGGAGGGTCTTTACCTCTCTCTGTCTCCCGTTTTCTGTGAATTTTTCCAATAAAAAGTATTAGTTTATTTTTGGCAGGCCTTGTGGCACGATGCATTATGCTGTCAGGATGCCCACAGTTCAAACCTCAGCTATCTGCCCTGCAGGGCAGGCATCGTGCCACACACCCTACCTAGCAGGAGTCCCCACTTTTGACCTGGCCAAGCTCTAGCTGTTGCGGACTTTCAGGAAATGAACCAACAGATGGATCTCCCTCTGATACTTTGCCTTTCAAATAAACCTTTGAAGAAAAAAAGTTGATCCTAGTGCAAAAATTCTGAAACTTGCATAACTGGAGGAATAGTTTAATACTTTGCCTAATAGGTGTTTAAGAAGAGCCCTGCTTTGCATGGCAAAAAAAAAAAAAATATTTTGCTTCAAAGTAGTGGTTTTTTTAAAAAAAAAAAAATATTTTTATTGGAAAGGTAGATATACAGAGAGGAGGAGAGACAGAGAGGAAGATCCTCCCTCCGATGATTCACTCCCCAGGCGGCCGCAACGGCTGGAGCTGAGCCAATCCAAAGCCAGAAGCTTCTTCCAGGTCTCCCACACGCGGGTGCAGGGTCCCAAGGATTGGGCCGTCCTGCACTGCTTTCCCAGGCCACAAGCAGGGAGCTGGATGGGAAGCCGGGTGGCTGGGACACAAACTGGTGCCCACATGGGATCCCTGCACGTGCAAGACGAGGATTTTAGCCACTAGGCTGCCACACCGGACCCATCAAGATAGCTTTTTAAGATTTATTTTTAAGGTTTATTTGTGGATGGCCCAGTGTGATGTGGATGTGGAGCAGCTGGGACACCAAGTGGCATCTCTGTGGGTTGCTGATGGTTTCAGGAGGAAGATTAGTCCGGTGAACTGGTACGCCAACCCCTCAAGTTGTTTTTTTAAAAGATTGATTGGTCATTTAAAAGGCAAAACTTCCACAGATTCACTCCTCTAGATGACCACAACAGCCAGAGCTAGGCCAGGCTGCAACCAGGTGCTATCTGAATCTGCCACCTACATGGCAGGGGCCCCAAGTCCTTGGGGCCATTACCCAACACGGACCCAGCAGCATTAGCAGGGAGCCAGGCAGAGCCAGGGCTCAAGCCAGCTCAAATGTGGAATGCCAGCATCGCCTGCTGTGATGCAATCCTCGCCCCTGAAACTTGCCTTGTAAATTCCACTCTGCATGGGGCCCGGCGCGGTGGCGCAGTGGTTAAGGTCCTCGCCTTGCACGCCCGGGTCCTCGCCTTGCATCGACCGTTACGCTCACTTGGGGAGTGAATCATCGGACGGAAGATCTTCCTCTCTGTCTCTCCTCTCTGTATATCCGCCTTTCCAATACAAATAATAAAAATAAATCTTTAAAAAAAAATTCCACTCTGCACAAAGCTTTTTTTTTTTTCTTTTAAGATTTATTTATTGGAAAGGCCGATGTACAGAGAGGAGGAGAGACACTCCCCAGGTGGCCGCAACGGCCGGTGCTGTGCTG